TTTGAGGGAAAACGATAGTTCATGCATCACACGGCACACTCCTAAATCCCTGCCTATTTTCCTGCCATCCCGTAAATTCTGTGCTTCCAGTGATGATGGGATGCTTTTCCGAAGTTGATTGGTTTTTAAACGGCAAGCGGTGGAACGGTCTTCCGATGGTTTCAGAGTGTGGCGTCTTCTCTGAGTCGAGGGGTGGGGCATGCACCTGAGAAGTTCTCCCAGACCAGGGGCTCACAGGAGGGGGCCCACAGCCCTTCTGGTCCCCGCCCGCTCTTCTACGGTCTGTGCACTGAGCTGGCTGTTACGTTTTCATTCTTTTCTTTATTGAATGTATTGGGGCGACATTGGCTGATGAAATTATATAGGTTTCAGGGGTACCGTTTTATAACACATCATCTGTATGCTGTGTTGTGTGTTCACCGCCCCAAGTCAAGTCGTCTCCTATCACCATTTATCCCCCTCTACCCTGTCCTGCCTCCCCCTTCCCTCTCCCCTCTGGTCATCACCGTGTTGTTGTCTGTCTGTGAGGTTTGGGTTGGTTGAAAAACAACAGGGAAGAAGAAAGAGAACACGGGGCTGAGCATTATGGGGTCTGAAAATCCTGAAATACAGGGTCCAGCAGAAGTGAGGCCTGCTTGAGTGTGGTTGGTAGGGTCATGATGTGAGTGTAAGAATTTATAGTTTTAATTTGAACATTTTGCCTACAATGTCATGGCGTGTGCTTGAGTGTGATATTGTTATGTTACAGAATTACATACTTACGACTTTGTGCTAAAAGATTGTGTAATAAAAATGGGGCATTACTTGTGCTGGACCCTGTATTTACTATTTGGTACACTAGAGAAAAACATTGCCTCTTGCTCTCTTAGGCCATCCGAACTATTATCTGAGCTAGAAGTCCTATTCAAGGCAATGCTGGACATTTTTCAGTTATTGAAGTTTCAGTGATGTTTCGATTACTCTAAAGTTAGCCTTCTGAATGACTTCACAGTATGTTATTTTACAAAAGCTCCAACTCTTTGCTGTATATTTAACAATTTATGGGACCGTAAAATCATACCATAGGTTTAACATTATGTTATATTGTTCTGAGCTTCACCGAGCATAAAGCATTGCAAGTTTTATATATGCTATGTTAGTAAAACACAACAAAACTGTCCTTTTAAGCCTATGTACAAATCACAGCCGGGAAAGGAGATTTAAAAGTGAGGACATATAATCCACACCCTCCTGTAAACTGACTGCTCAGTCTTACAGTGGTGAAGTTGATGTTTTCGTGTATACCCAGATCTTACGTTACTGTGTGACATTTGTCTGCATGAAGGTTGAATTTTAGAGGATATTGTTCTAGTCCAGAAAAATTCAGATTCATTTTACTCTTTTAATTTTGATGTAGATTTCTAAATCTTAATGGTTTTGTAAAAGCTTTTGGTCTTTCCTTGTTTTTTTTCTTCCCTTTTACATCTGTGTGAAAAGCTGAAAGTGAACATGAAAGTCAAATTCCTTTTTGAAGAACGTCCTTTTCACCCTGGCTGATGTAACTCAGTGGATTGAGTGCCAGCCTGTGAACCAAAGGGTCGCTGGTTCGATTCCCAGCCTTGGCACATGCAAGTCCCCAGGTAGTGGCGCACAAGAGGCAACCACACGTTGATGTTTCTGTCCCTCTCTTTCTCCCTCCCTTCCCCCCCTAAAAAAAAAAACAAAAACAAAAACAACACCAAAAACACTTCCTTTTCAAAGCCTATGACATTGTAGTCATTACTCCTGAAAAGCTATGCACACTATGGCAGACCAGTCTTTCTTTCCTTTTAGTGAAAGTACCATTCAGACCCCTAATTACTTGTAGTGAAGATGTGGAGGAACTTTGGCTAATGACCGCAGTAGGAGCACATTTTGGGAAACTGTGTGAAAGAGGAAAATAGTAATTTTGTCAAACTTCATGGAAATAAGAATGCAGAGAGAAGTAAACTCTGCAGGCAAAATGTGCTATCCAGTAAATGGGCTGGAAATCCAACGTTAACATCTAACGTGTACGATAAAACGTATCAAACTTTCCATTTGACATCCAGAGATGCAATATGAACCCTCAAAAATACATGTGTGGTGCTTAAGTAGGAGAACTTTATTCCCAGCTGACAATTAGATTCTCAAGGTTTGGATGAGCTCGTGACTTTGCCCTGGTTTGCCCTTACTAGCTGGTCAGCGTCTAGTAGGCCCTCTCATTCTTCTGGGCCTGAGTTTCCTGATTTGAAAAAAGTAGCATCCCTACCGAATTTAGTTTCCTGTCATGCACCAACAATACAATGTGTACTGGAACCCTTTAAATCGTAAAGCGATGTATAAATATTAGGTGTTTTTATTAAATCGATGGCTACACCTTCTTCTATGGTCCTTGACTTTCCTTGAAGCTGCTACTGTATTTTGCCATGTATAATGCATGCTTTTTTGCCCAAATTTTTTAGGGAAAAATAAGGATGCTCATCATTCATGGGTATAATAATGGGTATAATAATCCTGTGTATGATGTCCACCAAACTGTGGGTGTGCATTATACACGGCAAACTACGGTATCCAGAAGGCGGCATTTCACATATTTATGCCTTTATATTCAAGACAATGATCAGCAATGCCTCTGCCATGCTCTGGAAGTGTTTTAAACTTCAGTTAGGTTAATATCGCAAATCCCAACATGCTTGGAAATGAAAAGAAGGACAGAAACAAACAATCTGATGATGCCGTGAATCCTGAAGAAAACATCCTACGCCAAACACTGGTTCATAAATAATAACTGTGCCCTCCGGGGAAAGCTACGCTTGGATACGGCCCACCCCTCCGTAACATCTCAGATTCTCAGATTCCCTCTGTGCCCTTTTAATGGGACGGCGAAGTCTCAGACGCAGTGTATCTAAATCTTCACTAATTATCTTTCCCTTCAAATATCTGTGTTAGTTGATACTTTTTTTCAATTGCTTGGGAAAAAAAAAAGAAAAGGAAATGAGGAAACATGGCCAATCATGGAAAAGCCCAGAGCACACCCTGGGTTTCGGTGCTGAAGTGGTGTCCTCGCGTCTGCGCAGACTCCGTCTCCGCTGACACCCATCCCTTGGTGAGAGCAGCGCTGCTAGCGACAAGGGTCCGGTTGCGCCTCTGCGGCGCCCACCACCGCCGCAGCACACTCCCTCCTCTGTCCCTGACGGACCCCCACTCCTCCGGAGCATGCGCAGAGTTTCCAGTGCGCTGTCCTCCTAGGAACTTCACTCTGATTGGGGAGGGGGATTTCGGGCCTCCGCCCTAAACATTGTGAGATGTGTAACTTTCTTGCTTGAATGTCTCCAGTGGATTTCCTTCCAGCACTTTTATACTGAAATCTGAAACAGGTTCAGGGCCTGCAGGCGCTGCTGGCTGACCTCACCTCTCCGGCAACCCCTCTACACTCCCCTTCTTCAGGTGCCCCCCAAAACACGGGCTGCCCTTCTGCCCCCTAGACATGCCAGGGCTGCTCAGGACGTTTGCAGTTCTGGCTGAGCACAGATGTGGTCTCACATATACAATATATCAGAACAGTATATTATTAATAGGTAGTAGGTAATAGACAATACAGTGTATGCGATGTTATGCATAGCATATACCAGTGTCAGTAATGTGTAGTCATTATGTATCTATTATTTATCTGCCCCACCATGTACTTGAGTAATATGAATTACATGAAAACGGAAACTCTGTATTGTTCAGTCCCGTATCCCAGTGGTTTGAGCAACACCTGATACAAAGACGCCTGTCAGATACTTCCTCGGTGAATAAGCAAGTGCATCAGTGAGTGAGTGAGTAAGCGACTGGTCGTCCCAGCAGAGGCGCTCAAACTGAGCCTCTGTGAGCTAGGTGCCTGCCCCCACCCTCTCCACCGCTACTACCGAGTGGCATCTGCCTCTCCTGAATCAGGAGGGTTGAGAGTGCTGATTGGGTGGCCTTTTAAAGGGCATCCTGGGCTGTGACTCAAAGGGAAGAGTTTGCTGAGGAGGAAGCATGACTGTCCACCCAGGGACTCCCCTCCCTCTCTCTCACCAGTGCCTGTACATCCGTACCTCGGAATAGGTTCATATCTTTCCCCCTGCTCCCTTCTCTAAAAATGTTATCGGTCCTTCTTTTGAAATATCGTATCTGTCTTTTTTTTGTTGTTGTTGCCACATAGACCACATCGGTATTGACTTTCGATCCCTCGTCACTAGTCATCTTGCCCGTGGCAGGAGCTCCACGGCCCAGGATGTCCTGACTGTGGGTCTCTTACTCTGCCATGTCTTTAAAACAAACAAACAAACAGTGCAGTCAGTTGTTCTTTCTACCTAAATGATGTTCAAGAAGTTGTCAGATTTCTAATGGTGTCATGGGAAGGTAATGTGGAGGAGATTTTTTTGAAAGCGAGAAATGTGGCTGGATTTTAGGAAAAATTATGTATTGTGTGACCTGAATTTTAGAACTCATAATTTGTTTATTGTATACTACAGTGGTGCTTCGTTCTGTTCTTAAAGATTTATTTATTTATTCTTAGAGATAGGAGGGGAGGGAGGGAGAGAAGGAGAGAAATATCAGTCAGTGTGTGGTTGCCTGCTGAGCATCCCCCACTGGGGGGGCCTGGCCTGCAACCCAGACATGTGCCCTGACTGGGAATCGAACCAGTGACCCTTTGGTCCACAGGGTTCACAGGCCAGCACTCAGTCCACTGAGCCACACAAGCCAGGTCAGTGGTGTTTCATTCCTTTAACATTTGAGTATATTTGTACATATGAAAAGACCCAGGGAGCTTTGGCTCAGGTTCCACATAAAACTGGACTCTTTTTCAAATGAAGGAAACAGAGAAGTTTGTTTTCAAATTGCTTTTGGTGTGAAGCCTATGAAGTCCTGCATTGGATAAGAAACTTGAGGTTTAGTTTAGCGGATAGAGAACATGTTTATTTTGGAGGTATCACCCACCCCTTAATTTGTGAATCTCATTCTCCCCTCAGGCATTTCCCGGGAATGTCAACTCTGACAGCGTGGTGCGGCATGACTTACAGCACCCGGTTGTCGCCCGCCATGTGCGTGTGGTGCCTCTGGACTGGCACGGGGAAGGCCGCATCGGGCTCCGGGTCGAAGTCTACGGCTGTTCCTACTGTGAGTATCACACAGCCTGAGTGATGGAGCTGCAAGGGAGTCCAGGCAGCCTGGTAGAAGGCCAGTGCTCACCAGCTCTGTTGCAAAAGGTGTCGTGGGGTTCTGCCATCTTCATTTAAATTGCAACCTGTTTCTTTTCCATTGTTTAACATTGCTTGCCTTCTCTGACAGTAAACTGCCCTCTGTTTTTATATATAAATCAAATATAGTTTTTTTTCCCTGTTGTACATATGCATTTGCATTTATTTACAAACACAGGTATAAGAATACCTGAAGAATATCTTCAGGGTTGGGAAGTGATTTTGTTCAACAGCCTAAAACAACAAAGTGTATTAATTAAATTGGCTAAAGTTTTAGGAAATATTTAAAAACTGGAAACCTGTGCTATTATCCATCTTTTTGGCTTTTTGTGGTAGATTTTTAGATACATTCCTAAGAGATTTTTTCCAGTTCCCCTCAGTTGAGGGGATGCATCACTATTTTATATTATTTATCTTATTTTTTATTTTTTAAATCCTTGTCCATGGACATGCTTATTAATTTTAGAGAGAGGAAAAGAGAGGGAAAGAGAGGATGATAGGAACATCGGTGTGTGAGAGAAACATCAATGTGTGAGAGAAACATCGATGGTTTGCCTCTTGCACATGCTCCAACCAGGGACCAAACCTGCAATCTAGGCATGTGCCCTGGGTAGGGGTCGAACTTGTTACCTTTCAGTTGACAGGACGATGCTCCAACCAACTCAGCCACACCAACCAGGACATAGCATCATTATTTTAAAGCCAAACACTGAGTTGTAATGTCAGTTACATTTTGCATGTCTGTAAGTTTTATTTGCTCATTTTTAAGTGTACATGGTCATCTTCTTTAAAATCACTATTTAAACTCCCTTTTTGTATTTTTTAAAATGCATTATACATAGATCTATTGATTTCAATATGTGGATTTTGGGGGGGGTTAATTCTGCTAACTACGATTTCTGCTTATTTTTTTTAACATAGTGCTTTGTTTTCTCTTCCTCTCCCTCCATGGCCTCCTCTTCCTTCTTTCTTCAGCTTTTTAGCCTTCTTATCTGCCTTTCCTTCTTCCTCATCTTTACCCTAATCCACCTTCTTGCCCGTGACTTCAAATCTTTATCTGGGGACCTTCTTCCACGCCAAGGTTGATGGTCGATTCTGCAGATGATTTAACTTTGCTTGTTTGCTTCTGTAAGTGCAGAATTACTTTGCCAACACACAGTAACTCTAAAGATTGTTTGAGGTTGTTTGAGGCCAATAGGTAGTGTAAATTCAATCTGCAAAACACAGGACTTACAAACATGGGCTTTAGAACTTGAACTCTCTCTTAAAATATTTTGTCCTCCTCCCAGGAAATTGTGTTCCTGTGCTTCCAGCTGGCTGCGGGAGGAAGGGTGCTGGGTTTGGATCGGGTGGAGAATGGGGATATCAGCTTTATGCAAGGGAGCTCCTGCTGCATTCTCCCTTTGCCCTTCCTATAGACCCATAAAAATGAAAGCTCACTATAGCCAATAAGTGGGTAATGCACTATTGGGAAAGCTTTTTAAAATTAACCAAACACTTGGTAGTTCATAATAAAAAATGCATAAAGCTTTCACCTTTGTATGAATTTAGTTGCAGAGATTAGTGAAAATAGTAGCTATAATGATGATTAAATCATATTGTATTCATTCACGGGCAGCATTGTCACATACAACGTGAGCCAGTTACTTCAAGGGGCCACAGAGATCATTTTTATCATTGTACAGAGGTTTATTTTATTTGGTCACCACTTTATTATAGCAAACATAATGAGTAGAGAGACAGATTTAGCTCTTCAAGAGAATTAGATCTTCAGGAAGAAGTTTTAACTCTTGAGGAGGAGCCTCAGGGGAACCCTGACATAAATTGAGGCCCTTTTTACTGTGAGGTGTCTTCCTAGGCACAAACCCTGTGTCCACACACATTCCAGCTGTGGGCATCATGGTGGGAAGGCAAAAAAAAAGAAAAAAAGGAAAGAAAGAAAGGAAGAAAGTGATATTGTAATCACTGACATATTTTATAAGGAGCATGTTCACTTTCAATAAAGGAAAAATATGTGATATTCATTATAGAAACCATGATGTATATAATTTCTCTTATATGTCGTGGAATATGTTGGCTTCAACCCACTGAAATATTACCACAGTGAATAACAAAAGCATCTCAGGGTCGACAAAGGCAGTTCATCTAGAAATGTTTATTAGGATAAAAATAGTGGAAGTTAGCATGTGCCCAAGCTCACACAGCCTGAGTGATGGAGCTGCAAGGGAGTCCAGGCAGCCTGGTATGAGGCCAGTGCTCACCAACACTCCCTGTTGCATTTCCTGCTCCTAAATTCCAGCAAAGTGAGCACCCCTGTGATCAGCACCAGGTCAGTCAAAGAATCTCATTACACCCCACAAGCACTCTTTGAGCCCCCTCCATTGTATTTGTGAGAATTATCCATGCTCTTACGGCATTTTTCCATTAGGATGGTTATTCTATTGTGTGAACATTCTATAATTTTTTTCTTTCCATGTTTATGAACATTTGAGCGTTTCTAGTTTTGATTATTTCTACATACTTGCTATCAACATTTCTCATGGGTATAGATTCAGGAAGGAGTCATATCAAGTATATGTATATATTCAACATTTGTTAAATGACATGAAGTTCCCTAAAGTGGTTGTATCAATTTAAACTCTCATGAGCAATGTATAAGGGTTCTAGTTGCTTCACAAATTCTGACATCTTGTATTCTTTTAGCCATTCTGGTAGGTGTTTATTATATCTCATTTTAGTGTTAATGCACATTTTCCTGATTTTGAAAGAGGTCACACTGTCTGGTCATATATACATATACCCTCCTTTCTGAAGTATTTGCTCAGGAATCTTGCCCAGATTTCTATTGGGTTATCTTTCATTTATTTTTTCTCTGTTTTTCTCATTGTTTTGGGTAGTTTTTACAGTCAACTCTGTTTCTTGTTTTCATTTTCATTGAGATATCTAGACACATATCTTATTTTTGAGATGGCCTTTAAAAAATTATTTTAAAACCAACACGATCAACAAAGATACTTTAGAACTCGCAGCAAAGAGGCAAAGCAGCTTGCCAAGAAAGCCCTCTGACTTGGGTGTGCCTTAAAATATGACGTGTTCCGTAATCGTTGCAAGTAGATTGGTAAAGTTTTAAGTCAATGCTATTGTGGCTTTCCATAAAATCTTGGCTTTGACAATCATAACAAGAGGAGGAAAAATTCCTGAAGCTAAATAGAAAGCTGAATATTCTAGTGTATAAGCCTTTCTGGTGTGTGTGGGTGTGGGGGGAGGAGTAGAATCATACACTTTGAGAAACTGTAGGAACATTTCTATCTATAGATGCCAGTGGAGAAAATGATAAATTTGCAACATATTCAAATAAAGTAAAATGGAAGTTGAAAAATAGCACTGGAGCAGATTGTAGTAAATGGGATATCAGGTTCTAACTGCTGTTACTTGAGGAGGCAGGTGATTGCAGGTGTGATCAAGTTAATGATCAGCCAGTGTTATCCAGGTGGGCGCTAAGCACAGTCACGTGTATCCTTCTAAGAGGCTGGTAGATGGGGGTTTCGCCAGCAGAAAAGATGGAGGCGAGCAGACCACAGAGGCAAGCAGACCACGTAGGCAGAGATGGAGACATTTCGCTCTACTGTAAGGCCTGTAGGCAGCTGCAGGAAGTTGGGAGAGGAGAGGAGCAGATTCCCGCCCACACAGTGTGGTCCCGCCCACACGCTGATTTCAACCCAGTGAAACTGATTTGGGACTTCTGGCCTCCACAACTGGAAAGAACCAATCCCTGTTGTTTTCAGCCACCATGGTTTTGGTGATTTGTTAAGGACAGCAACAGGAAACATACAGATGTCAATATCATTTCAGAAAAGAAAAGACAGAAAAATAGCTCTAGAAAAATGCTCTCCAAGAGAACTTTTATACAAAGGTGTAAATGTTTTAGACCTGCTGTAACCCTGGGCGCGTGTGGCTATGGAGCACTTGAAATACAGGCACGACACTGAGGAACTAAACTTCTAATGTAATTTTAATTCATTTAAAGTAAAAAAAAATGTGGCTGGTGACTACCATATGGGATGATGCAGTTTGAAAGAACCGAAACATCTGCTTATTTGTCTTGTTATACGCTAAACAAATTATAACATTTTTTTTTTAATGACAGTCTTTAAATGTTTTCCTTGGTTTGGAAAACACCAGTTTCATCGTTCTGGCAAGTTTGTCTTTACCATCAAACATTTGATGATGGGTTATTTCCTTAACCGGAGCCTTAACTAGGTCATTGTCCTAACCAGTGTCCAGGTTATTTTTGATTTTTCTATTTTTGAAGAAGGCAAATTATGTCAATCTCTTTTACAAGAAAAGAAACATGTGTGTTTATACTCAGGAAAAAGATGTGTTAAACATACTTGTTATCAGCAACGTTCCCCAAGTTTCGATGAGTGAGATTTACCTGGACTGGAGTTCAGTCTGGAGTGGGTCCTGAGAAGACGGTCTTTTTTTTTTTTTTCTGGAACTTAGCGAACTGGTGCCTTCTGGGGTTTGTTTGCCTTTTCAATGAGAAAAGGGGTCTCGGAGCCCTGAGTGGGGAAAGGCAGGTCTAGTACACCCACTCTCCCACTTTGCCCTCCCCGGAGTAGCAGTCCTGTGTACTCGGGGGGTTCCTGCACAGAGAAAGTTGCCTTTGATCATTCTTACGGGAGAGAGAAAAGAAGTTTCTCGTCTTTCCCAAAACCCCTTCCTTGGAGGGTGGCTCTCAGATCTGTCTGAAACTTGCAGATTGAGGAGTGGGGTTGTGCTTCTTTGCTTGCAGTTTGCCAGAACTCCAGAGGGAGCAATGTCCGCGTGAGCCCGGCTTTGGTCGGACTGTGTAATGCCCGCCGCCTGTGGCTGTCATCTTTCTTCCAGGATCAGCTCTTCCACGATTGCTTTGTCGTC